ACAATCCAGCGCACTCGCTCATTCACTACACAGCGATTTAAAGTCTCACAGAGTGTAACACCTCACCTAGGCAAAACAATATTGAGGTTTAGTTACAGTATATGATCAAACACGGCATAAACCTGCCACAACGTCAATGTCCTACTCTATGGAAATTAGATCGCCGTTTCAGTCCATACCAGGAGTTTCATCAGGGTCATCCTGATGGAAGTCCTGGTATGGACTGAAATGGTGATGTAAGTTAACCACAATTGAGTGGCTAAAGATGCTACATTTTGATTTTGAAGACCAGTGTGTGTCTTTCTTCATGGAAATTTAGGCCAATTGGCAGACAAACCAATACTGTGAGTTTTGAAGTTGCGGTTTAGTGAATGAGTGAGTGCCATGGGTCATGTATAGATTAGCCCCAGTAGCAGGTAGGCATGTTCAGGTGACTGCAGCCCTCTTGGTTTCATGTGTAAATATATATATGGGGGTCCAGGCCAACTACTGCATCTTTGCACCTATCCCTGCCACATGTAAATCATTCCAAGTCCATATTTTACCTTGCTCTGCAGAGAGCCACGTAAGGAAAGAATTCCCAAGTAAGTGTGTTTAAGGGTTAGTCCAACCATCATATTACTTAAGTAATTTGAAGTGGTCATGGTGGTAGAAGTATGTATGTACAGTGTTTTACATACAGAGTAATTAACACTTGTGTGTCGAAGGCTAGATAAACCCCAGCACTCTATTCCAGGCAACCCAATGTAAATTCTGTACATATTTCAGCGACAGACACGTTCTCCACTCTCCCTCCCACCTCCCTCTTTTAGCTGAAACAATTTGGTTAAAAAAAAAATTAAAAAAAAAACCCTCCCTTCTGCTCCCTCCCTCACTGGTGCTGAGCGTGCGTATGCGCTCTGAGCTCGAAAAACTGTCCAATCACAGGCTTCTTCATGAAAAGTCTGTAGATGGACCTTGCCCAGCTGCCCACACGTCACAAAGAGGCGTAGAAACCTGTGCTGGAAGTGTTGCCCGGTGCTGGATTTCAGGTAAGTAAAACATTTTTATTTTTAGTTAAGAAGGGGGGGACCTAAACTAAACTATATATGACCATACAGTGCATATTTTTGCCACAAGCAGGCACATTGGTGTTGTGGCAGGCTTATGCAATGTATGATCACATACTCTAACTAAATCTGCATTATTTTTGCTTAATCAGGTGTTATTAAAAAAAAAACAGCCCAAACAAATACTATAAAATTCTGTGAGCTTTTAAGTTGCGGTTTAGTAAATGAGTGAGTGCATTGGATCCGGTATGTTTTTTATGTATAGAGATTTGAGAATATTATTTATATATTAGATATATACTTTGATTGCAGCCAGTGCAATAGCTCGGTCAGTTAAATACACCAAGTCCAAAACCTGTTCAAATATAAAGCCTGGATTCTATTCAGTGCAGGGTAAACTTAGCCCTTCATTTGACCGAGCCAACAAAATGAATATTGAGTTAGGTAATATCATTTTTACATCATGATGAGCTGATTGTGATAAAAAACTTTTTAACTCACATCTGGTATGTAATGCATCCTCCATATTCGCAGCTTGCTTGTGACCCTCTGCTCCTTCCAGAGTCACAGATATGCTTGTCGGAGTGATATTAATTATCCTATAAATGAACAGTTAGAGTCAGTGTTTAGAAGGTGGATTTTCAAAAACTTTAAGGTTTTAGAGGGGGGTCCATGGCACACTTGTCTGGATTGAATGTTCACTTTCTAACGGCTAGTTGAAATTGTGAGCCGGACAATAAAATAATACATGGGAAAAAATGTAATTTGTCAATTTGTCTTCCTGCAAAATATCAACAAAATTAAAACCACAAGGACTAAACTATAAAGTAATGATCAGTAGCCATCACTAATGGGAGCTAGAATAGAGCATCCATTCCCTTACTAAAGGGACACAATAGGCATCAAAACAACTTTAACTTAATGGAGTGGTTTTGGTGTATAGATCATGCTCAATTCTCCGCCTTCTAGGACTGAAACTTCTATTATGCAGTCATATTCACAACTCCCTGCATGTGATTGACACAGCCTTCATAAACACATCCTGTAAGGAAAGATAGAATGTTTAAACTTCCTTATTGCACACTCTGTTTCATTTAAAATTTCTTATCTCTTGATCTGTTAATAGCCTGTGAGAGCCTCTTGTGTGATTAACGTTCAGATAACAGAACAGGAGAGTGTGGGTAGATTTGCATAAACAAAAACAAAATTGATTTTACTCCTAAATGGCAGAGAATTGAGCAGTGAGACTGCATGGGGCATGATCTATGCGGTAAAAGGAATTAATTAAGCCAAGTCCTTCATTTCTGGTAATTAAATGTGTGATCATTTTCATCTCAAATGTCTTTCGTTCACTAGAGTCTTTGAAATTCCGGTTTAGAATTTTATTCCGGAGGTTTTGGATGTAGTGACCAGTCTGTGTGAAGTGATGACCAAAAGGGGTACAATATCCATTTTCCTTGTGGTTATTGATTGAGCCTCTGTGTAGGTTCATTCTGAGATGCAGCTAAAGGCCAGTTTCTCCAATGTAGCAAACTTAGTCACACACCTTAACACCAGAAATGAAGGACTTAATGTAGACTCTGGCTTTCTCACACACTACCAAAACTTTACATAAACACACATCTTAATGTCTTATATAGTTCTTTTTCAATATTCTCGTTTCACCTTTATTTGATCAATTTTTGTACATACGCATATGCAGCTGTATATTTGCATGCCCTGCCCTGCTGGGTTTTTTTTATCCAGCTTATTGACTCTGTTCATTTACTTTTTCTGTCTATTCTCAACCAACCTGCACTTTTCTGTTTCAGGCACATCTTCTGCTATTTATGACACCCCACTGACCCCCTCCCCTTCTCTAACATCAGTTGTTTTATGTGTTAAACTCTATCAGATTGATCAGTATTGCTGCAGACCTGAGGAACAGAGAAAAACTTTTAAAAGTTTGTCTTTGAAATATTATGTTAGTCCAATAAAAGAGGTATCATTGCATACTGCAATACTCTAGGATTTATATATATAAAAGGTATCATTGCATACTGCAATACTCTGGGATTTTGTCTACTGGATTAATACGGTTGATCCAATCTACACTATATATATATATATATATATAAAAAAAATAGTAAGTGCAAGATATATATATTGTCTCAGGGACACAGCCACTAGAGGCCGGATTAACCCTGCAGTGTAAACATAGAAGTTTCATCTACTTTTCTACGCTATCCTTACCTTTTGTGTCACTATACCCCACTCCCTCTAGCATGTAAACTCACTGAGCAGGGCCCTCAATCCCTCTGTTACTGTGTGATAAGGATTAATGAGCACCTTTCCCCTTATATCCTGTGTCACACTACACAGTAGATTTAGTAATGTCAGGATGCTCTATTATAACAGCTGGCCTTTGATCCTGATTTGTATCTTCTTCTTATTTCCCCCCCTGCACTGCATATCCTGATAACACCTTGTTGGGAAGTGTTTGTTTAATCAAGTAACACCTTTTGACCAGCTAATGCCAAATGTGCTTTAAGTTCTTTTAATATGCAATTGACAGGACATGACTGTATTATGTGAAGACAACCCCTTTTTGGATGTGTATAGAATTTTGTTATAAGATCTGTGTTCTCCCCATTAAAATTAGGTGTAGTATTCTGCCATACACTTGTGTGAATGAGTACTGCCCTCCGAGCTCGTATTTCTGCTGTGTCCATTCCTTGTCTTCATACCTGAGAGAAAACATTGCTGTCTGCTGAATTTAAACCACAACAATATGGTGTCAGAAGTGGAGAGAGAATCCAAATCGGGTAAGAACATTTTGTGTTTTATTTTTGTGTTCTTTGCCCTGTTTGGATTCTCTGAACAAAATTTTGTGGTTGCAGAAAAGTAATGTTTTCTTGTTTTTGTTTTGCCTTTCTTTTTGTTTTTGTTATAAGTATGGGTTAGAGTCCCATGATAAATATGGGTTAGAGTCCCATGATAAGTATGGGTTAGAGTCCCATGATAAGTATGGGTTAGAGTCCCATGATAAGTATGGGTTAGAGTCCCATGATAAGTATGGGTTAGAGTCCCATGATAAGTATGGGTTAGAGTCCCATGATAAGTATGGGTTAGAGTCCCATGATAAGTATGGGTTAGAGTCCCATGATAAGTATGGGTTAGAGTCCCATGATAAGTATGGGTTAGAGTCCCATGATAAGTTTGGGTTAGAGTCCCACGTTAAGTTTGGGTTAGAGTCCCATATAAAGTTTGGGTTAGAGTCCCATATAAAGTTTGGGTTAGAGTCCCATATAAAGTTTGGGTTAGAGTCCCATGTTAAGTTTGGGTTAGAGTCCCATATTAAGTTTGGGTTAGAGTCCCATGTTAAGTTTGGGTTAGAGTCCCATGTTAAGTTTGGGTTAGAGTCCCATACTAAGTCTGGGTTAGAGTCCCACGTTAAGTTGTATAAGAGAAACATTTATATTTTCTGGGTTAGAGTCCCATCTTGTCAGTAACTTGTATATAGTGGGTATAGCAGTCCCACTGAGTGACCACATTTAGTCACTGTATTGAATGCACAGTTTGGACACAGTAGAATAAATCTTATTTTTGTTTATTGCAGCGCTGCATGTATAGTTGTATTGTTTAAAAAAAAGTGTGCATTGCTTATATATAAAGTGTTATATATTGTAAAGTGTTATCTGTGTTAAGTTGGAAATGGGCTCCAGTAATGGTAAAAAGAAAAAAAAAAAAAAAAAAATTTCCCAACAAAATTCTGTAAAATTTAAATCATCTAAAGATGTCCCTAATAGTGCTGTGTCACGTACTCCGAAAGTCAAGTCTCAGGGTCCTCAATTAGGCCAAACTCCATGCCAGTTTGTTCAAGAAACTATTGAGCCATTTTGTACAGATTTAGTTGCATGGTCAGAGAATTGTGATACAATGATTTGTAATCCATGGCCAAGAGAGGGTTCTTTTAGTGATTTTCATTTGCAAATTCTGAAAGGTTATGTGTATTGAAGGTTTAAAAAATCAGGTGGAGATCCAAAATGGGATAAAAAGTATATGCATAATGCAGCTACAGGATGGTTAAAGTGTGCTCAGTTATGGTTTGTTCCTGATCAGACTACAAAGTATGTTCAGGCTTCTGCAGCATCACCTGCTTATGTGCTTTTTGTTGTACCAATAAATATCAGTTTGGATGAATAAAAAAAAAAAAGATTTTTCGGAATATTGATACTGATGAAATTTTAATGGCGATTGGTAGAGGGAAAAGTCATGTTGGATAGATGGTTGTGAATCCTTCTGCAATGGTGAGATCCACTGCAGAAAATGTTGATGTTGGTATAAAAAAAATGAGAAAGTGACTAGAAAGTCTGTGGATGTTGGTGCAGGGAATAAGCAAGTTGATAGTGTTTTAGTGGTGGATGAGGGTTATAAGAGTCATGGTGTACTAGTTCCCAGTCATGTGTCTGCTTCTGCCTATCCTTTTGTAGTTGCTGGTGAGACTGTTATAATTAAGCCTCCCTATGGATCACATTTGGTGTCTCTTAGGACTCAGTGTCCTGATCCGTTTAAGCTTCCAGAAGGCGCTATTAATTATTTAAAAAGGGTAACAATGGATCAACAATTTGGAGGGGCAGATTTTTGTTTTTTTATTGTCTGTTGTTTTTAAATATGCTGATATTTCACCAACAGAAATGGTTCTTAATTTGGACACCAAATATGATAGACCTGGTACTGATGTAGGTTGGTTCTGTGTATTTTGGGCTGAGCAAGATTTTGTGTCAGAGTTTTTAAATCAGTTATTGGTTTATTTTCCTTTGTGGTTTTGCAGTTGTACAAATACCTAATAGTGTAATAGCTGCAGGTTCTTAACTTTTTGTCTCAGCGCAAGCAGCGGAGTTGATTGCTCTTACACAAGCTTGTATTGCTTTTCAAGATCAAGATGTGACTATTTATACTGATTCGAGATATGCCTTTGGAGTGGTTCATGATTTTGGTGTCATTTGGCAGGCTAGAGGTTTTGTTGCAGCTGATGGTCGAACTGTTTTTCATTTTGCATTAATTGATGGATTATTGAGGGCCATACTTTTACCTAGATCTTTAGCTATTGTGAAGTGCAAGGGCCATGATACAGATCACTCCATGGTCAGGGATGGTAATGATTTTGCAGATTTGGTGGCGAAAAGGGCAGCTGCCTCTTTTCCTTTATGGGCAGATTACAGTACTGTTTCTTTTGACCAGGTCTTAACTGCATATAGCCACTCATACTGATGATACTGATATTCTTTCTGTGCAGGCTGCATCATCTTCGGATGACTTAGCTTACTAGAGTAAACATTTTGTTACACCTGATGCAAATTCTGGTATCCTCAGGGATCCTAAAGGCCGCATAGCAATCCCTCAAGCTTCTTCTGTGTTACTCGTCCGACAGTTCCATGGCTATGGACATGTCGGACGAAGAGGGGTATTGGCTATGCTAAATTAACTATTTGTAATTAACAGGTTAGATCAGACAGTTATCAATATTTTTATCCAGGTGCTTAACATGTGCAAGAGTTAATACTATCAAGCCACAGTTTGGTAAACATGACCACCTTCCTACACCGGAAGGTCCAATGTTAAATTTACACGCATATGACAATGGTATAAGGTGGACTCAAGTATTTATTTGTATTGTAGACATGTTTTGGTTGTCCATTTATGATTAATAGTGATAAAGAAACTTCGTTCACTTCAGCAGTTACACAGCAGGTTTGTAAAATGTTGAGTATAGATTGGAAATTTCATATACCCTATCACCCTCAGTCATCAAGGCAAGTAGAAAAGATGAATAGAACGATCAAGGAGAAATTGACAAAAGGAGGCTTGGGTAGCACACGCAATTGGCCAGACAATTTACCAGCAGTTTTAGCTGAGATCAGAATGACCCCTAGTTCCACTACGGGTTATTCACCCTTTGAAATTTTAATAGGGAGACCTTTTCCAACTTCATGGTGTAAGTCCAAAGGTGCTCCGATGGTGAGCGGAGACCTAAATGTTGTGTTATATGTATTGAACCTTGTAGACACATTGAATGGCATCTATGGTGATTTGTCTCTATCTCTTCCTCATCCTTCAGGTACCACCACACATCCTTTCAGGCCTGGAGACCAAGTCTTGGTGAAATCCCTCTTCAAATCCGGAACCTTTGATGCACCATACAGACCTCTGACAACCGTTGTTGTCATCACCAGAAGAGCCGTTCTGACCGAGGAGAACCAGATATGGAATCATGCAAGCAGATTAAAAAGATGTCCCATCAAGCACTCTGGATATTCCAAGCAAAGAACGTTCAACCTCAGACTGATCCAGAATGAACAATAGTGCTCGGTGCACCCTAATTATTCTTTTTTCCATGGGACTTGGTTATGCGCTGATTAATAGTATTTCATCCCAAAGAACAGGCATAGTAAAATGTTTTTAATATATTTCACTCTAAGCAGGCTTTATCTTCTTCATCATGGGAAAGAGACAATCATTTTATTAGATCTGCAGAGAATTTATATCAAGCCCAAAATGTAAACCTTAATTCGTCCAGGAGGGAGGGACGGTCTTATTATAGCCATGGCTCCCCGGAGATTTTCTTCAGAAATAACGGTTCTGAAGTTTTTTTTCTTCCCTGAGTGCTATAATAGACAATTAATTAATTTACTGATATGTTATTCTTTCAGAATAAAAGATTGGAATGATAAGGATTAATGAGCACCTTTCCCCTTATATCCTGTGTCACACTACACAGTAGATTTAGTAATGTCAGGATGCTCTATTATAACAGCTGGCCTTTGATCCTGATTTGTATCTTCTTCTTATTTCCCCCCCCTGCACTGCATATCCTGATAACACCTTGTTGGGAAGTGTTTGTTTAATCAAGTAACACCTTTTGACCAGCTAATGCCAAATGTGCTTTAAGTTCTTTTAATATGCAATTGACAGGACATGACTGTATTATGTGAAGACAACCCCTTTTTGGATGTGTATAGAATTTTGTTATAAGATCTGTGTTCTCCCCATTAAAATTAGGTGTAGTATTCTGCCATACACTTGTGTGAATGAGTACTGCCCTCCGAGCTCGTATTTCTGCTGTGTCCATTCCTTGTCTTCATACCTGAGAGAAAACATTGCTGTCTGCTGAATTTAAACCACAACACTGTGTCAGTATACCCCACTCCCTCTAACATGTAAACTCACTGAGCAGGGCCCTCAATCCCTCTGTTACTGTGTCACTATACCCCACTCCCTCTAACATGTAAACTCACTGAGCAGGCCCTCAATCCCTCTGTTACTGTGTCACTATACCCCACTCCCTCTAACATGTTAACTCACTGAGCAGGCCCTCAATCCCTGTTACTGTGTCACTATACCCCACTCCCTCTAACATGTAAACTCACTGAGCAGGGCCCTCAATCCCTCTGTTACTGTGTCACTATACCCCACTCCCTCTAACATGTAAACTCACTGAGCAGGCCCTCAATCCCTCTGTTACTGTGTCACTATACCCCATTCCCTCTAACATGTAAACTCACTGAGCAGGCCCTCAATCCCTCTGTTACTGTGTCACTATACCCCACTCCCTCTAACATGTAAACTCACTGAGCAGGGCCCTCAATCCCCTGTTACTGTGTCACTATACCCCACTCCCTCTAACATGTAAACTCACTGAGCAGGCCCTCAATCCCTCTGTTACTGTGTCACTATACCCCACTCCCTCTAGCATGTAAGCTCACTGAGCAGGCCCTCAATCCCTCTGTTACTGTGTCACTATACCCCACTCCCTCTAACATGTAAACTCACTGAGCAGGCCCTCAATCCCTCTGTTACTGTGTCACTATACCCCACTCCCTCTAACATGTAAACTCACTGAGCAGGCCTCAATCCCTCTGTTACTGTGTCACTATACCCCACTCCCTCTAACATGTAAACTCACTGAGCAGGCCCTCAATCCCTCTGTTACTGTGTCACTATACCCCACTCCCTCTAACATGTAAACTCACTGAGCAGGGCCCCAATCCCTCTGTTACTGTGTCACTATACCCCACTCCCTCTAACATGTAAACTCACTGAGCAGAGCCCTCAATCCCTCTGTTACTGTGTCACTATACCCCACTCCCTCTAACATGTAGCCTCACTGAGCAGGCCCTCAATCCCTCTGTTACTGTGTCACTATACCCCACTCCCTCTAACATGTAAACTCACTGAGCAGGCCCCTCAATCCCTCTGTTACTGTCACTAGACCCCACTCCCTCTAACATGTAAACTCACTGAGCAGGGCCCTCAATCCCTCTGTTACTGTGTCACTATACCCCACTCCCTCTAACATGTAAACTCACTGAGCTGGGCCCTCAATCCCTCTGTTACTGTGTCACTATACCCCACTCCCTCTAACATGTAAACTCACTGAGCAGGGCCCTCAATCCCTCTGTTACTGTGTCACTATACCCCACTCCCTCTAACATGTAAACTCACTGAGCAGGCCCTCAACTCCTCTGTTACTGTGTCACTATACCCCACTCCCTCTAACATGTAAACTCACTGAGCAGGACCCTCAATCCCTCTGTTACTGTGTCACTATACCCCACTCCCTCTAACATGTAACCTCACTGAGCAGGGCCTCAATCCCTCTGTTACTGTGTCACTATACCCCACTCCCTCTAACATGTAAACTCACTGAGCAGGGCCCTCAATCCCTCTGTTACTGTGTCACTATACTCCACTCCCTCTAGCATGTAAACTCACTGAGCAGGGCCCTCAATCCCTCTGTTATTCTGTCACTATAGCCCACTCCCTCTAACATGTAAACTCGTTGAGCAGGGCCCTCAATCCCTCTGTTACTGTGTCACTATACCCCACTCCCTCTAACATGTAAACTCACTGAGCAGAGCCCTCAATCCCTCTGTTACTGTGTGTCCAACTTGTCTGGTTACAAATACGTGTCTGTTAGTCCACCCATTGTACAGCGCTATGGAATTTTTTGGCGCTATATAAATAATAATAATAATTTTTAGAGAAAAGAAAAAAATGCAGGGTGTGTAAGGTTTCCAAATACATCACCATGTTGTTCGGGAACACAGCATATATACTAACATATTAACGGAAAGCACATGGCAGGGACTGTCCTGTAGTATATAGAAAATATGCAGCAGGCTGGAAATTAAGATATCCAACAGGATTTCTGCAGCATATGCATTCCACATACTTCAGGAGCAACACTTTATATGTGCTGCCCCTCTAAAGTTATAAAGCATATCCCTACAAACGTGTGTTCAGGAATACCTGGATAAAATATTTACTAAAGATGAAAAAGAGTAGGGCAATAATGTAACAGAGTGTTAGGAATACATGGAAATACCCCATTAATTAGAGTTACAGAGCACTTTATTTAATCTCTGGGTAACTCACATTAATTAGAGTTACAAAGCACTCTATTTAATCTCTGGGTAAGGTACATTAATTAGAGTTACAGAGCACTTTATTTAATCTCTGGGTAACTCACATTAATTAGAGTTACAGAGCACTCTATTTAATCTCTGGGTAAGGTACATTAATTAGCGTTACAGAGCACTTTATTTAATCTCTGGGTAAGGTACATTA